ATCCCATAATTAGCATTTATGTCATGCAGTGAAACTGAAAACGTTCCCTTTTTTGATCAGTTGTAGTGTGTTTGCTCACCTAATGTGAATTTTGTCTTGACTGAGGCTTTCCAGACATTTTTCAATATGTATGAAGAATGGACGATAACCAAAATGTCAGCCTCTTGATATCTTAATGTCTTCAGCCCATGCTCCAAATAATTCTGATGGCAGACTACTCGGTATGCCTTTTCCAATTTCTGTCTACAAGTGAGACTTTGGCCGACAGATCTTCAGTTTTATGAAGCAGCTACTGGCCTGTGTACATTGTTGGTGATTACCATTCATGAAAGCATCAACCTGCTGTAGTATCTGATAACAGCGACAGGTACATGTACAGGTATAATTGAAGTTTACAGATATTCTTGAACACAATTTCTGTTTGTTATGTACATATACCATCGGTAACTTGAGAATAGTCACAATACTATATATGCACTTGTGTGATGTGAACATTAAAGTCCAACATCAGAGTGCTTTGTTTCATAACTGCTTGAACAGTAAGAGTTTACAAATACAGAATACTACATGTACATGTAAATTATAGTCGTGAACGTACATGTAAGTGCCAATATCACTCAATTTCATAGTTTGAACACAGAACGATCTAAAATGAGCCTACATGTACATTGCACATCTAGCTATCGTACACATTCAATGTACATCAATCTCGAAGAGGGTGTTGTTTCAAAAATCACCTCCTCACAATGGGAGGTCAAGGGGAAGGGGCCAATGGGGGCCAGCCCCCTCCCTCCCAAATACAACAGGAACAAAAAGGTTTTTTGAAAAAAGTAATGATATAAATACATGTACAGTGGCGTTTGGTCCATTGGTTTTCCTTTCTACTCATAAACCTACCAAAACACAGCTTAAAGCCTTAAACGGCCGTAAAAGGGTCCAACATTGCACCTTCCCCCAAACACCTTTGGGCCCCCAAAGGAAATTAGCCTTTTGGGTCTGCCCATGATCATCAGGAATTTAAAGTGATGTTCTAATGTCACCTACCAGTGCATGTAGACATTCTTTGTTTTTCCCCACAAACAATCATCAGATTATTTTAGTCAACATCAATACATGTAAGTTTGACATTTTGTTCAGTTTATGACGTTAGTAACATTATTAATTAATCATTGTACACTGTACGTGTAAAATACATACCGGGGGGTATGTACTGCACCACTGTCCCACAAGTGCAAATCATGTTAACATGGGTAATGATCAATGTATCTTCAAGCAAGCTTGATGCATCCGCACATGTACAGTATATGCCACATACTGATTTCATAGTGTACTAGCAATATGCTGGTCTGAATCATTTACATGAAACCCTAAAAGAGCCAGCTTGTTTTGACTTATCTAATGCCCATGTGGGAGACAGATCCTTCCCCCCTCCAAGAAAATTGGCTGTGCCATGTACAATTGTTTTGAAACTTGGCAGACACTTCTTATCAGTGTAGATGTGCCTCAACTCAATCTGGCATATGGTTTTTGTTGTTACACGTACAGTCATTTGAAGTTGAAGGCCACTTGCATTCCAACCTGTTTGCTTTGACCACGGCAGTGGGAAAAGTGTACATTTTTGGCTGACCTGTCTCAGAAAAAGGGGCACTGCACAAGAATGGTACATGTATGTTCAATTTTCGTAACATTAATGTCAAAAAGACTGTGAAGACTACTGAAAATACTCCCAAAAGCTCACCTTGTGGGAAAAAGCAGTGCTGAGATACCGTAAAAAATGTTGAGGGATTCTGTCCCCCCCCGGCTCTTTTAGGGTTAAGATGAACATGTAATTTGCTTACCCTGCATGTAGCGCGATCCACTGTACATGTATGTGTACGTGGATGCGTGTGATTTGCGCCTTATTATAAAACTGTGGGATGTCCTGTCTTCATAGATGACTAGTCAGGATTAAAGATTCAAATTTGCTTAAAGATGAAATGTGATGCAATTTGTTTGTCTAATCCTGAGTGGACATGGCTTAATTACTTCAGAAAGGAAATTGTACCCGGTACCAGTGTCTCATTNCACTGCTGTGCTTTGCATTAAGGCGATCAACTTCTGTGCACTATGATTGGTGCTTATATGGTCTCATACATGTCCATGTGTACATTAGCTATTTCTGTTAAAAGGAATGAAAATATCTACCCAATAGGGGCTTTCAGGACAATAGAGATTGAAATTAACTCACCTGTGCATTGGCCGCATACGTTTGTCATCTGGATGACCATGATCGCATCAACTACATGTACATGTACTATGGTAACCTGGTCAGCCAGGTGCAGATGACTATAGTGCAGCTGAAATGTTCCACCAGAGACACAAAGATGCTCACATACACTGTACATGTACATGTCGTTGCAGTACTCTACAACATGTCTTTAGAACCAATGGCAATCGCTGCTCAAAGGTTCACAAAAGGTTTAATGCACCCATAATGTTGTAGTGTACTAATAATCTTGTAGTGCTCACTGACTACATGTTATTCCTTTGTAATCTGCATGGTTACTGTGAAAAAAGCACCGAGTGGGAATCATGAAGCAAATGAAAGCTTTGTTATGAAGTTATATACATCTACGTATATTAAATTTAAGCAGCATTCATGTTCATAGTTGGCCAAGGTGTTGGTGAGATATACATGTATAGTGGCTGCTTGGGATGGTCACTCAAGATAATAGGTGGAGCAGTTCTTGGTCTTGATCAGAAAGCGGTCATCAACCTGGGAGATGGTGACATTGTTGAGTTGGCACATGTTATCAGACAGGTTGAAGGAAAGGCAGTCAGGATCCTTGGAGCAGGCAATGCAGCATTGCATTGGTTGCGTGATGGGGATTTCCATGTAGGTGTGGTCAAGCAGACAATATGGGAGGGCCATGTGGTCGTCAGGGTCATCAGTGGTGACAAAGCAGTGGATAGCGTTTTGTTTCACTTGAGGACCCTCACACATAACCTGTTTCATTGCAGAACAAGCCACCTCTGAAAGCTCTGGTGAATTGACTGTCATAAGAAGGCATTTAGTACCAGGAGCATGAGGATTTTTATGATTCTCAATATCACTGCATAATGCTCCTTGCTGCTTTTCTCTACAACCAAACCATAATTGTTTTTCGCCATGCTGACATGTACCCATACCTTCATGAGTTTGACAGAGTGCTTTGTGAGCCATCCCTCTAATGAACTGTTTCTCATCCAGAGTGCTTGGTACTATTAGGTGAGCACCAAGACTCTGGCAAGTCTCAAAGGCTTCATTCCAATTGAGTTTCTCTTGGGTCGCCACCTTGTAACATGAATGACCATAATTCACCCAGCCTGGTGGACAGGAACGTAGTATGGCTGCAGTGCCCAATATGCCAGCCAGAACCAGCAAGGTGTGGCGGATCACACTCATGGTACAGTTATTGTTGGGAAATGCTTGGAGATCTATTGGTAGTTTGCAGACAAACTTTTGAACTGATCCTAACTGAATCTCAGAAGTTGTCAGGTTACTTAACTGACGGTTTTGCAGCGTGTCCCCAAGACTTGGAGGAGTGAGCCAGAAAGTCAGACTTTGAAGGCCGCGTAGCATTGGCTGACAAAATGTGGTAGGTTTACATGTACATACTGTACATGTAGTAGGAATACATGCAGGTATAATGTACCACATCAGGCCATCATTGCTTTTATACATGTACACAGCATATAGCATTAATTAATACTCCTGTACTTTTTGTTAGGGATGATCACACATTGAAGTTGGCAATTGTTGTTCCTGATCAGAGTAGCAATTTCCTGGGTTTTAGATGCTTAGTTGAATTGTGTGGGACCCTCATTGCTACTTTACAGACCATACAAAGTAGCATTGAAATTGCTCCATCAGTACTTGTCATCAGGGATGATGACACCCAAGGGGGCATTTGTCATGACAGAATACTGATCATAATAGCACTTTCCTTTGTTCTAGATGGTTTGTTCCGTTGATGGACTCCAGTTTTCATCTATGTGCTAATTAAAATTGATTTTACCTGCTTTTGTGACCGTAATGTGTGCTGCAGCTTGGCCAAGGCTACACGTACAAAACATATTCATCATACTATGTACCTGGAACTTTGGTTTTTACATTCTTGTAAATGCACACTGTGCATCGGATATGGGAAAATGTCCAGTTCACATGACTGATTTGATTTTGGGTACATTGGTGAATTCGTTATCGCTGTGTTGCTTTGCATTTTTAAGAAGAAAAAAATTCCAAATTGATTTGGTTGTCTTGCATATACATAATTATCGAATGAACAATCTTATGGGAGGTTGAGTGCCAAGATTTTGCCAAATGCTGTAACACTGAAATGACGTGATAGTCATGTCACAATAGAAAGTACTGAAAGTATTGGTGTTAAAAAATTGCACTGCATACATGTAGGTCCTTCAAGACTACCTCCAGATCATGGATTAAAGAAAACACTCAATGTAAAGTTGGTCATCATGAAGATGTTCAGTTGATGTTCTTTTCTTCTATCAATGTACCAAGTTCCTTTTAGAATGAGGAACTACTATTTCCCTTTATAGTATTATTACATGTATATTGGTGGTTACATTTGTGACACAACCAAACACAGAACAGTATATATCACGTGAAAGAATACTGAAGGAAAAAAGAAAAAATCTGAATCTTTGTCCAACAAATTGCATTGAGAAAAACAGTGAAAACCAAACCCAAACAAACCAGCCCCCCCCAAAAAATCAACTCCAATTAAAACCAAGCCCACACGCTCAAACCCCTGACCCCAACCACAAATACAGTCCTGAACCCAAACCTGAATCCCCCAAACCCCTGGAGCCAACCTTCCCGATCCCCTCCCTCAGATCCCCTCTCTCCTCATCAGAAACCTCTTAAGTCATACTAAACAAAAAGGAAGGGCAGGTTGGTTTAAGTGAGCACTCTGACCAGCATCACTGACAGGCATTTTCTCTTTTCCTTTTTCCCCTAGGATCAGTGGCTCATACAGGACCAGCGGGTCAAGCAACTGCCCCAGCATTTTAGCGTGTGCCAGACTATTGGCATCGTGCCTGCTGCCGTCTTCCTTACAGACCCTGTGCTGACGTTCTCAGCTCGTCTGCTGTGTGTGGTAAATACCGAAATTGGCAAACCGTACATTATTATAGTCATAAATTCCTTTCGTTCTAGTTAATGACAATAATGATTCCCTTAAAGTGGCCATGGAACTGTAACCTACAGCCCAAATCAACCTTGGACAGGTTAATACATTTATCATGAACCAGAATAAGGATTTTGACATTATAACATGGAAAAATGGCACACTATGGGGAACTTGCAAAGCAACAAAAACTCCAACTAAACCAAGGATCTTTGAGGGAGGGGTCGCAGGAAACTGAATTAATAGGGACGCAGACACCAGTATTTGACTTCAAAAAAGGACACTAAAGAATTTATTAATGAAAAGTACTGAAAAAAATGCCAGAACCTAAAGGGCTGAAACAACAACACCAAAGGACTAAAAAAACCCAAAACCCAACACAGTGTGTATAAGTGGCCTTTCAAGTACACTCCAACAAGAAATGATGACTTTGAGCAGACAAAACACAAGCAGGGCGCACCACTCTAGTTAAGAGGGTGAAAGATGAACACATGTACAGGGACATGTACACACTTCACTGCTGGTCTGCTGCACTGAATGAACTGCCTTGACCAGGAGGCAACTTTATAGGGGACCTTGTGGGCTAAAGTAAACAAACGGGGGGACACACTACCAAGAAAGGGGAGGGGTATCTAACTGAGACTGAAATAATTTTTTTCCTCACTAAGGGGCACTACCCCTATCTTCTAAACAATAAGGAATACATAAAATTACGAGTGAAACTTGGCCCGGCCACAACATCAAAGTGATAACAGGAAAATTGCTTAAAATGCCCTCCCCCCACCCCTAAAAAGAAACAAAAATCAGAAAACAGAAGCAACCCCCCAAAAACCTGAATGAGAAATGGTTTATGGATCATTTGACAAATTACAAGGTACGGCAGCAGAAGTATATGGTAAACATCATTTTTAGTTACATGTAGTTCAGTGTTATTACACGTACCATTGCTACTGTCTCATTTTGCTCTCTAAAACAAAGTGCATGTACCCATTGTGGTTTGCTGTGTGTAACAATAAGTTTGGGAAAAAATAGTAGACTACTTTTGAAAATTATCTCATTTTCTGCCATTTTGAACTGATGGGAATGAACCAACTCCAACCTCTGGTTCATATTTAGTTACAACAGTGATCTCCTAAGCACAACCGAAGTCACAAGAATGCTGAACCAGTAGCTCTGGTAGAAACAGGTTTCTGGTCACGGTCACAAGTATTAAAAAGAAGATAAGGAAGAATTGTTCAGCATCAAAAGATGGAAGAGAAACCCTGTGTCAATATTGCAGAGAAATCCCACATTCCAGAGTCAGGTACATGCAGGAACTGAAATCCCAGTCCATATCAGCCTGGATGGGCTCAGAACTCGAAGTCACATCAGTGTTTCAGTCAAGACCACTTAAGACCTTCACAAGACCGCACAAGACCAACACAAGACCTCTAGTCTGAATTCAAGTCACAAGCTATTCAAATGAACTGCAACAAAAGCATTCCTTTGTCATTGTTCACCCTGTTACTTGTGCCTGTTCTTGTGCATGGTCTTGTGTCTGGCCTTGTGCATGGTCTTGTGTCTGGCCTTGTGCATGGTCTTGTGTCTGGCCTTGTGCATGGTCTTGTGCATGGTCTCGTGTCTGGTCTTGCGATGGTCTTGTGCATGGTCTTGTGTCTGGCCTTGTGCATGGTCTTGTGTCTGGCCTTGTGCATGGTCTTGCGCATGGTCTTGCGCATGGTCTTGCGCATGGTCTTGTGTCTGGTCTTGTGCATGGTC